ATCACCAGCTTCAAAACTTAAAATTTGGCCTGGTTCGTTGGAATCTGATCAGGTGTTTGATATTAAATTAATTTCACTTTTTTCTGAAAGATAATTCATATTTTTATATTTTTACTGCATAATCCATATCCATAATTCTACATAATGACAAATTATTGAAACATTTTCCATAAAAAAAAAACAAAACAAAAAAAAAAAAACAAAAAAAAACAAAAAACAAAAAAAAAACAACAAAACAAAACAAACAAACAAATTGATATAACAGTTAAAATTTATTTTCTATTTCTTCATCTTTCTAAATAAGGCCTAGACAAAGAGTTTAATTTCTAATCCATTCTTTGAAAAAAAAATAGGGTAGCTAGGGAAACATCTTATTTTATTTCAACATTTTATTGTTTTACTTTGACAATAAACAATGTTTATGAGAAATAAATTAGGGTCTTTTTTTACCAAAAGGCCGCAGAAGTCGTCACAAAACGAGTATAGGATAATTTTTTTTTCTCCCAAACCACGAAAAAGACCAATTAAGAATTCTAATAGTTATTATTCAGTGGTTCAATTCTTTTTTACTAACATCCCTTTCTTTTGAATTAAGAGAAAATAACGATGTGTTTTCTTAAATATTTGATAATTACTTAAATGGTGACATTTTGATAATATATACAGTATTATTAATTAATTTATAAGCGTGATATATATACTTCACCTAACCAATTAAGATCTATAGTGTAACTATAACATAATCTTTTCAATTAAAAAAAAATGTTGTTAAAAACAATATATTTATTTACATATATTATAATAAACTCAACATAAATAGCATGTATTCGGAACGAAACATTGCGGCGCGAACCATATCAGCGCAGAAGAGTATCGGCGCAAACTATCATGTATATATATCGGTGCGAAAAATCCCGTTACTAGTAATAAGAATAGGCTCTCCCCAGCTTAATTGTTTAAAATATATATCTACTATACTATAAAGTATACATATATATTTTTTAAACAGTCAAGCTGGGGAGGGCCTAATGGTAATTAGTATGATCCGCAACTGTCGTAAGTGATCCGAAACTGTCGTAATTTTAGTTGTTGCATACACTTCGATTACTTACGAAAGAAGAGTAATAAATTAACAAATCTCATTTTATATGAAAGGTACGAGAATGGGGCTCTTAACAGTATGTAAATATTTATATTAATCTCGTTACTAATTTTCACCACCAATGTATAAATGAAAACTGATCCGGAACTACCGTAAACACTGTAACTCTAATTGATTAGTCAGCCCCCGGGCTGACTAGTTACGGTGGGATGAAACTGCAAATGCGCTTGCGTAATTTGGAATTCTGGGAAAAAGATGTACACGACTTGTTCTAAAGAAACTCATGCTATTTGCTCCAACCAAAGGGCGTGATTCTTCACACCCTCTAAACAAAGACGCGACCTCGATCTATTTATAGACTGTATTGTTCTTCGTCGTTCTGGACGAAAAATTAAAGAAGAGATCGTTCTATGTGGGAAATATGATACTATGAAAATATTTCAGTGCTTCTTATAGAAGATGAGAAGTTTATATGCAGAGCACATTTAACACTTGATATATATACCCAGAAAAAGTCAATCGCCGTTGCAAGTTCACGGATTTGTGTGTATTCCTCTGAATGCCTGATGCAAGACTCCCTCGATCAATACCTTGCATAAGACATGTACGCGTCGGAATTCACACAATAATCCACTTGCACAAAGGTCCCAAAACAGTGAAAAAAAGAATCTCTTAGTTATGAAAACGTCAGAAGATCACTTAAGATGTGTAAAGTCTTATAATTTACACGATGATAGACATGTAAGTGCCGCTTGTGCACGTGAACCGCGCCCACAGGTGAGAAAGTGACCACAGTAGAACTTGAGAGTTGAGAGAAACTGCGCGGATTTATAGACAGCCCCCCCCCCCCCCATTAGAGAGAGAGTGAGCGAGATGGAATCCAGTATCATTTTAGGGAATACATACTGTATGTATAAAATATTTTGAATTTCCAGTTTATTACTTTATTTTGGAAGCAATTCTTTTCTTTCCTAGTAACACTAAAATGAATGATTAAATTTAGAAATTGAATTAAATATACATGTACATACAGTATGCACCCCTCCCCCTTCCCCTATCATGCATTGCCTCGAACATGCACGATTAAAAACTTTTATCTAATAATAAATAACACAATCTAACCCAAGGTCTACCTTCCTTTTAAGCATCATAATCTATATCATTTATAAAATTTAACAGTAAAATTGAAAATGTATACATTCTTCAACGTTCAATGATTGGGATCATAGTGGCTTTGTTCATTTCTGAGACGAACTTTATCTCATGGCTGTAGGAACCGGGGAGGGCACGGGGGGGGGGGAGCCGTGCCCCCCCCCCCAATAATTTTTCCGATATATAGACTACTATATAAAACATAGCTACTATATGCTTGTGCCCCCTCAATAAAAACGTCTGATGACCTTTTTTTTTTATTAATAAATTTATTTTTTTCTGCTTGTCAAGGAATTTTTGGTAGTTAATAGTGTCCCTCCAACTGAAAATGTATGGCTGTGCCCCCCTCCCAAAACTGATTTTATTGCTTCATATCTGATGTCCGCGCCCAAGAGAGATTAATTGGAGGTCATCATAAAGATCACGATGTAGTCTAACTAAAATTTATTCTATGCTTTATTATTTATTATGTACAGCATTATGTTACAAATAAGAAAACGACTGGGCGAATTTTAACTTAGACGACAATGACTTTTAATGAACACAACATGATGGATAAAACAAATGATATACCATCACAAAACAAGAAAGAAACATTCTGTATTCCAGTGGCTGACTCTCAGCTTTTTTTAAAAAGCTAACCTTGTTAAATGGATAAAAAAGAAGACAGATAATCAAGAGTTGCCTACTATTTATTGTTTATCAAAAGGTGTAGGTGAGGTTTAAAATGCGTTCGACTCGCGGTCATGTTCGACTTACGATCAGTTTACCCAACTGTATAATGCGATGCGCAGTTAACACGGCTAACGTTAGCCTACTGTTTTCATACTCTGGCGATTCATCATACTCGAATTATCAGTTATTTAATTAGCGTGTATTTAATTATAATCACACCCAAATGTTTCCTTATTTTTCGAAATAAAGAGAAAACACGTGAAAGTGAAAGTAGGTTACAATAGAGTTTGTTTTATTTTAAGGGGAGAGAAAGAGACTAAAACCAGAGGCTGTTCCTTCTGTCTTTTCCTTTGCATGTAAGAATGAGTCATCCAGCGCAAGTGAACAAAGATACAGTAAAAGAGTCAAGTGTGATAGAGATCATAGTGAAAATGTGTCTAGTAGTGAATGTATTAGAGATCATAGTGAAAATGGGTCTAGTAGTGAATTTGTTGTGAATGAAGTGGTGGTGGAGTCTGTACAAGAAGTTAATGTTGACTGTGAATGTTATGAAAGTGATGAAAAGAAGCTGCATGATCAGTCAGTCCAATGTGATATTGGAAAAAGCAACAGGTTTTCCATTGAAAAATTGCAAAGTAATGATAAAATGGTGAAATATTACACTGGTTTTGAAAATTATGACCATTTCATGATGTTTTTTCAAGTACTTGGTCCTGCAGCACATGATTTGAATCTAAAAAGCAACTTACTTTCCCCTCAAGACCAGTTCTTTTTAGTTATGATAAAAATGAGACAAGCTAAAGAAGACATTGAGTTGAGTTATTTGTTTCAAGTCAGTGAAAGTACTGTTTCAAATATTATTGTTACATGGATCAATTTTATGTACTTCCAACTTAAAGAGATTAACATTTGGCCCTCGAGATCTGTAATTGATGAATATATGCCTGATGACTTCTTTGCAAATTTCTGCAAAACTAGAGTGATAATTGATGCCACTGAGGTACCAATAAATAAGCCCCAGAATGTAAATGCCCAGAGTGCTACATTTTCGAATTACAAGAATAAAAATACACTAAAGGTGATGATTGGTTGTACACCACATGGAACTGTCAGTTATATTTCCGATGCATACTGTGGTGCTACAAGTGACAGACAAATTATTGAACGTTCTGACTTACTTAGAGACCAGGACAAATTCCAAGACCATGACAGTATAATGGCTGACAGGGGTATCATGGTCCAGGATTTGTTTGCCCCTCGTAACATTCAGGTCAACACTCCAACAATGTTGAAAGGAAAAAGCCAACTTGAGGCACAAGATGTTGTTAAAGACCGAAGAATCGCATCAAAGCGAATTCATGTTGAAAGAATCATTGGACTGGCCAAGACTTTCAAAATTCTCAAGAAAGAGCTACCACAGGGCAAAGCCATTTTAGGCTCTAGAATCATTTTTATTTGTTTTTCAATACTGAATTTTAGACCTTGCATCGTTGACAAATATTCATAATAATGTACTACCATTCAAATGAATATTATTTAATACATGTTGTAGAATAAAAACAATGATTTCAGTTACACTTGCATTATTCAATCTAACATTTTCACATTGTACTCAATTAACTGTTGTTTCTTACATAATTTTGTCTTAAAGCAGCAAGTGGATACATCTTTGTAATTATCTCTATATACCTCTTCACCTCTTTACAAACCATTAATAACTTCATAAACATTTCTCTTGGATTATTCTAAATTCCAGGTTGACTACTGAAAATCTACATTTTGTAATATAGAACCATAGTTTCAATGATAAAAAAAATGTTATCCATTACAACAGTGCACTATAATGACCATGTTAAGTTTTGATAAACAATCAAAATACTGTGCTGATCTTAACAGATGTAAAAGGCTTTTCTAAAAAGAAAACCTGCAAATATCATCATATTATCCATATAGAAATGAACAATTTATGTACAAGTCTTCAAAGAAAAAGCTTAAACTGCAGATTTATGACATCAATTTACAATTTTTCAGCAAGAAATTTTCTGTAGTGTTTTTATAAAACAACTCTAACTTTGGTAGCATGCAACCACAGAAATAATCTCTATCAACATTGATTTCTTCCAAAAAAATATCTACAAATGAGTAAACAACAAAGAAACACTTTTTTTTTACAAACATTAAGCTGCCCTTGCACCTGCATATAATAATTATGATTCTGTTTTAAATGCAATACACCATCATCATCCTCTAGCAAGAATGGGAAAAACTTGTCTGCAGCAATCTTACGATCTCTACCCTTATATGGACATTTAATTTCAACAATAGCATTTTCTCCAATAATGCCATCGGGCGAAGCAGCCAAATAATTGTTCTCCGAGTCTATGAAAAGACCACAAGTCTTTACTTTGAAACCCATTTTTTCTTGAAATGTTTGTCTTGCTACAGCTTCATACTTTTGGCCATGTAAGACAGCTGGTGTTTTCAGTTTAAGAGGTTTAAAGATGCTAGAACACAGCTTCAGTCTGTTACGTCGATCAGTAGCTTTGCAAATATCCCCAAACCTGGAAGCTGTCAAACGCCATTCTCTCTCTTGGTGCCAAACTTTCGACAGATTCTGTTTCCTAGTTCTGTGTTCGATGCGGGCAATATCCCTATCTGAAACCTAGATATGAAAAATTAAAATTTGTTCATACCAAAGAAACACTTCAAGTATATCAAAATTCATTATAAACCAATTCTTATATTTCAAGAATTTATAATGTAACCTTATAAGAATAGTTCAGTAGCACTTTAAATTATCAATACATGTATCTTCAACTTTCATCATTGCCAGAAGCTGCCATATGGAGGCATCAGTGTTTTACAAACACATCTTGTTTTTTTTTTCTTTTCCAAAAGACATATAAATCATTACTCTTACAAAAGATTACAATTAACAATATATTTCATTAATATCATACATTCTGAGCTGCATCTATCCAATATTCAGTGAATGGCAGGTCCAAGTAATCATGGTCCAGTACTGCAAAGTTGATAAATGCCTTGGACTTCATGTACTTGAAAGATAAATCTGCTGACGTTAAAGCACAGTAATTGGTTACAATGTTGCTCACATAATCGTTGTATCCAGCAATTCCTCTGTATTTCTGAGGTCTTGGGTTGTACCGACAAGGCATATGTCTTCTTCTTTTATGGGGGAGCCTGTAAAATTCAAAGGTTTAAAATAAGTCGGACATTAACCAAAAAAAAAAAAAAACACATTAGTTTACGTGTAATTTAACTTCTATTACAATTTGCCAAATATATATTTCAGTATTGTATTCCTGTACAAAGAAATCACATTTCCATCACTTTTAATTAAGCAATATATTGAATATATCAGTATTTGTAATCAATATCTGCATTAATTTAAAGCTTTCTTATTTCATGGTTTACTTATAATATACATGTACATGACTTGTAAATTTGTGGATCATATGTATTAATCTTTTGTGTATATTCAACAAAGACTGAACATAAAAACTAAATTTTGCATGCATGAGAAGAACTACCTAAAACAACTTCTCAAACTGTAGTTTTGTATACCTGTCTGTAGATCATGCAACTTTTATATTTTAAAAATATTGTGACACAGGTCACAGAATTAAAGTTGTTATATGTTACAGGACATTATTATCTTAGCTAGCCACCCTTAGCCAATGGTGCTATCAAAAGTTGGGATTGTTTATGTCACCTGATTTCGAATCTTACCACATACATGTACCCACAACTAGCATCATCAACAAAAATAAAGAGCGTTTTTTAAAAAAAAAATAATAATTAAGAAGTAGCTATCGAGCGATGTTTATTTGTTCTTAAGGGTGCAAGTCTGTATCTCCAATACAGATTCCTGATCACATTATGTGCATGGATGACACTATAGCCATTTATATAATGCCACATTATCTTAGGCATGTTAGGGATCATTGTTTACCCATTTTTTTCATTCCTGAGACTTTTGAGTCACGATATATCCCAAATTGAGATATCGTCATATGTACAAAAGCATTTGCTGATTGGTCGAACAATATCAAGAAACTCCAATCACAACTCGAGAAAAAAAAAAATCCCGACTTTTGATAACACCATAGGCCAAGGGTTTGTAAGTTGAGTAGCAGACCAGAAACCCTTAGCTAGCAAAGATGGGGCATCATCATCATCAAAATTTAATATATACTGAAAAGTCGTTCGTAACTTTTGACACTTGTGTATATAAACAACAACAAACATTCAAAATTTAAATAGTCAAATTAAAAAAAAAAAAACATGAATAGGAAACATTTTTAAACACAGGCAGCTCAACTTGGAAAGACTTCTTTCAAATTGGCTTATGAAAAGTCTGGAGATTATCTGTACATCCCCTAGGAATGGTTATAATGCGTGTTTCCCGAAATTTCACCAAGAGCAAAACAACAGCGGCTACATGTTTACAAGTTCCATTAGGGCCCTTCCCAGCAGGGCATTCACAATCTGAATTTTTAATTTCACCCGTTTTTCTGTGAATTCTTACACGATAATTGTAAGACACCTGTTAAATACAGTCAACAATATAATAATCATTACTCAGAAAATCTTGATTCACTCTACATTCATACTACACACACATGTACATTGATTTTTTTTAAATCTATTTTTAATTAGTTGTTGTTCATTTATTTTGAAACACTACCTTTTTCTTCATTGCTGCTCTGACAAATCCTGTAAGAAAAAAGTCCTCATGTTGACAGTTAATACGCAGTGCTTCAACTCTCTCTGACTCCAAGAGCAATTTTCCTTTCACAATCGCCTTTGTATTGCCCATCATTTGCCTGTCAACTGCTTGTCTGTATTGAAAATATCCTAAGAATTCCAAAAGAAAATATATACAAGTTTTACACCTGCACATTGACATATTTATATTTGATATCCTCAAAACTGTTAAATTTCATGTGTGGCATACACCAAATTTTTAACATACTTAAGCGATTTTCCCCCATATTACTGTATCTTCGATATGGGCTTCTGATATATGTGGCATTAAATCATAATGCTCTGATGTAATTTGTTTATACCCAGTAGTGGGCCAGTCTACCTTCCTTTCCGCTGGCAGCTCTATTACGGGACCGTTAAAGTTAAAATTTCGTTCGTATGCTTCCAACCTACACAGTAACATGAAATTTGTTTAACAGTTTTTGTAGGCATATTGTCAGTATAATCACTGACAATGTAGCACTCGTGTGACTTGACTCTGATAACCCTAATTATTTTAATCATATTACGATTACTTCAATGAAAATCATTTATTTTTAACAGTATTAATGTTTTTCTTACCTTTCTATGAGATCTGTTTTTCTTCCCGTAGTTACAGCGCAGCGCAACATCAATTCTTTTTTCAATTTCTGTACGGTGTTCGAAGCGTACGCCATGTTGTTTATCTCGAATACCTCATATTACAACAGCGCCTCTAGTGGCGCGAGGGGGAGATAAGCTGTTGGCGGACCCTATTCATCTTACCTCATCAATAAAATGGTCAAAGCCAGTAATTCACTTTAATCAACAAAATGATCAAGGCCAGTAATACACCTTACCTCATCAATAAAATAGCCAAGGCCAGTAATTCACCTTACCTCATCAACAAAATGCAGATTCTTCCAAGTACTGTTGTCAAACTTGTAGGCCTCTGTCAATAAGATCTGTATATAAGTCCCACTAAAGCAGTACCAGGGTAGAAACTCAAGAAGAGTGGTGGGGTATTTCTCTTTTAACTGCAGGGAAAAAATCATAAACATGTAGTGTATAACATGATCATTACTGAGATCTTCAAAGTGATACACACTTCAAGATTTATCTAACAGCAATTAGAAATTTTTTTATTTTAATATTGGGAATGACTTAATCATAATCAAACTTTAAATGTTTCAAAAAAAAAGTAAGACATTTCCTACTTTGATGAGAAGATTTTATAACTTACGGTCAGGGAAAGATAACTCTACCTGTTTCCAGGTCAAGTGACAGAGATCAGACAGAGCTGTTTGGAATTCTGACAGACTGTTGGAATCTGTCTGATTCAGAAAGCTCAGCTCATAGTAAAAGTTAGAAAATGCCTTCAAAACAAAAGACAACATAAAATGACTAAATAATACATTAAAGTTTTAAAAATTGACACACAGTTTATTTAATCCTGTTTTAAGTCAATGCTTCTCTTCAAAATGAAGATTATAATAATTTGCTTTTCTTCTTTTTCACAATTGTGATTTAACCACAAAATTCCACCTAAATTGGCCATTATCTGTGATTTTTTTAATAAATGATATCTATGTTATCTTTGTTGTATCCTACAGAATCTGATTTCTAGTAAATTATATGAAACTTAAAGAGACCAATAAGAGGATACATTCTTTCAACATCCTCATATAATGACATACATAGAACTGTCCATAAACAGGTGGTTGATAGATTCCATTAAAAGAACAGCTTTTGTATGGACAGGATTGGTTGAAATCAAACAACTGATGTGCAGTCACTGTACACTCTGTAACATTGCCACTACCATGAAGAGTGAAATTGGTATTCTGAAATCAACAATTTAGAAAAATTGAAAATGGCATTCTAAATTCAAACTGAAAGTGGTATTCTAAACACAAACAATACAGAGAAACTGAAAGTGGTATTCTAAAATTAAACCATACAAACTGAAAGTGAAAGTGGTGTTCTAAAATCAAATAATACATGTACTGTGATACTGAAAAAAGTGTTTTAAAAACTAACTGAAATTAATACACAGATACTGAAAGTGTATTCCAAAATCTAACAACACAGAGATACTAAATGTGGTATTTTAGATTTAATCAAACTAAAACTTTCCTTATAGGACTAATACCCCACCAGGGCAATTAAAAAAAAAATACTTTAAAATATATTAATTCCATTAAGTTCAAAATAAAATTAAATATTTTCAGAGGTAAACTTCAGACAAAAAAAATATTGATAGGCAGACAGATGGACCAGGTTGATTCAAGTATACCCCAAACTTTGTAGCGTTATAATAAGAACACAAAGAAAAATTCTAGAGGTCACACATGATGCAATGCAGTTATAAAGGTATAACCCTGGAATTTACTCGCATAGTTAGCATGGTAGAACATTGATAAATGTAAACATTTCATTTATAAAAGATACTGCATGTTACAAAATTATAATGGAAAAACAATCCTTGCTAACAGGTTTTTCACGTGAATCTCTTGCACAATGTAAAAAAATCCTCAAATATATAGAAATGCTGTTATTCAGATGTAGTTAAACTAAAGAGATTACACTTTCATGTAAATGAGATGAATCTGATTCTTCAAGAAACTTTTGTTAAAAAACACTATTACCCCCTGAATGATAAAAACATGATATCCAGTGTGAAAGAATGACAGTTACATTAATTGATGACAGGTGATATTCCAAAAATTGTTGACTGCAATCATTTGTTGACTGTCAATTGTTGACTGGAATTTATTCGAGTATGGTTCACCGTTATATGTATTTGTATGAAACATTCATTATAATATTAAAAAAGAATAGTGCATGTACTGGTAGTTGAAGGTAATGTTGAAAATTTTCAACTGTCGAAAACCATAATCTACCTTGGCCTTGGTTGACAATGGTTTTCAAAGCACACTTTACCCTCATCACACATGAAAGTAGCAAACATCAAAAGGATGTTTCACACCTTCAATATTTGTTTCAATAACAAATTTTGTGAAAGCTGTACACTTCAAAGCTATAAGCATACCTATGAAAGGAGCTGTATGACTGTGCAGATTTGGCAATTATCTCATAAATGAAGATAAATAAATGAAAAATGGACATACCTATTTCTGCTTCTTTGATCTTGGGATGATTATAACTTAAATTACAGATTGCCAGCCCACCCCACCCCCACGAATATCATGCAAAAAATAATAAGACAAACCTTGTTAACAGGTTTCTCCGATGAATCTCTTGTGCATGGTGCCTCAAAAATATCAGAATAATGTTCATATATTGTGCTTCCCTGGGGTCCACAGGGATTATCTACATCCTGAGTGAAGTTCTGGCTCTATATAAGGATACAAGACAAGAGTTTATTTTTAAAATGCAAGCTTGTAAACAAGCTAAGAACAGCTACATTGCAAAACAGAAAATTTTGAAAACTGGTCAGTTATCATTACCGAAAATTATTTTCTTTTATTTCCGAAAAAATGTAATACATCATTATTGAAAATTCAGAATGAAACATTTCACTTGAAGTCTATATAAGTGATCTATATATCTTCCAGTTTTTGCCATTATCAAACTTTTACAGACAACAACATAATATATTAAACAGTTACAAACAACAACATATATCAGGATACAAGCTTATAACGGTGAAGCTTCCGGAGGCAGAACTGACACTGAAAAAGGTCGTTCCTGCATCCAGAAATATAGTGACTGTTTACATGTATATGCCTTATGAATAGGGATGTCAACGAATATTCGAATATTCATTCGATGAGCTGATATTCGAATATGAATTTAAGATTCGAATATTCAGTGTTTTTTCAGATTTCATAAAAAAGGTACTGTAATTAATAAATTTTGATTAGAACATTGATGGAATCATCCCCGTTTAATTTACTGGCGATCAATTTCGATCGCCTGATTTCCTTCACTACTTTCTTACAGATCTACTAAATTATTTTGTTTTGAGTAAGGTGTTAAAGAATTATACACTGTACATTAATGCTTTATATATAATACAAAATGTACTTTCCTAGTTTTTAGGTCACCTGAGTCACTCAGGTGACCTATTGCTATCCGTTTTTGTCCACCGGCGTTCGTCGTGCGTCAGTGCGTTAACATTTGAACATTTCTAGCTTCTTCTCTGAAACCGCTTAACCAATTTCAACCAATTTTGGCATATAGCATCTATGGGTGAAGGGGAACAAAAATTGTGAATTTCATGGTCCCTGCCCCCCTGGGGCCTGAGGGGTGGGGTTAAAACCACCAAAAATAATGCAATCTTTAAAAATCTTCTTCTTTACTCCTGGACATCAAGCAGTCTAACTGTTGGCATGATTGTAACAAGCATTGAGCCCTCTACCAAAATTGTGAAATTCATGGCCCCTGGGTCAGGGGTTCTGGCCCCAGGGCGGGGCTATATAGATCATATAGTGAAAGTGCATTACTTCTTTGAAAATCTTCTTCTCTACTCCTGGGTATTAAATAAAGTAACTAAGTACATAGTTATGAAGAGCAAGACTGCCTCTTCCAAAATTGTGAAATTCATGGCCCCAGGGTCAGGGTTCAGGTGTTAGGGCGGGGCTCCATAGATTATATAGTGAAAAAGCATTAATTCTTTGAAAATCTTCTTCTCTGCTCCTGGGAATTAAATAAAGTAACTAAGTATATAGCTATGATGAGCAAAAGTGCCTTTTCAAAAATTGTGAATTTCATGGCCCCAGGGTCAGGGGTTCTGGTGTTAGGGCGGGGCTCTATTGATTATATAGTGAAAATGCATTAATTCTTTGAAAATTTTCTTCTCTGCTCCTGGATATTTAGTAAAGTAACTAAGTACATAGTTATGATGAGCAAGAGTACCTCTTCCAAAATTGTGAATTTCATGGCCCCAGGGTCAGGGGTTCTGGTGTTAGGGTGGGGCTCTAATGACTATATAGTGAAAATGCATTAATTCTTTGAAAATCTTCTTCTCTGCTCCTGGATATTATTTAAACAAACTAAGTGCATGGTTATGATGCATAAGGATGCCTTTTCAAAAATTGTGAATTTCATGGCCCCAGGGTCAGGGGTTCTGGTGTTAGGGCGGGGCTCTATTGATTATATAGTGAAAATGCATTGATTCTTTGAAAATCTTCTTCTCTGCTACTGGAGATTATTTAAACAAACTAAATGCATGATTATGATAGGCAAGGATGCCTCTTCCAAAATTTTTAAATATATGGCCTCAGTTTTTGGGGTTCTTGAGGAGGGGGGGAGGGCTCTATTGATTATATAGTGAAAAAGCATTAATTCTATTAATTAATCATCAATTAATCCTGTCTGCTCCTTGGTGATGAGCTGATAAATAAATTGTTTAGCTATGATGAAAATGGGAGCTTCAAACAGAATTTTTAAATCTTGTGGTCCTAGGGTCAGGGGTTCTGGCATAACGAGAGGGGGGGAGGGGGGGGGGGGGGCTTTTGATAATATAGTGGAAAAGTGTTAATTCTTTAAAATCCATAGTTATGATGATGAGGGTAACTCTTCCAAATTTGTAAATTTCTTGACCCTTGGTCTTGGGTTCTGGTGTTAGGGTAAGGCTTCGTTGAATCTTTAGTGAAAATGCATTGTACCTGTGAAATTCTTCTCTGCTTCTGGGCATATCGGAAGAAAACTGAGTAAAAGTTTAAATGATATAAGTAAGCGTATTTCTACCAGATTTTTGAACATCTGGACCATTTGTCTAAGCATTCTAGTCCTGGGCAGGGCTCTATTAATTTGTATTCTACTGAGAGAAGTTATTCCCCTTTTCCATTCACCTTTGATAATTAATCACTGTAAATAATACATTTTGAAGGTTAATAGAAAAGATAATTATGCAAGAATGTTTATCATATGATTCAAAAAGTATTTTCTTAGTTTTAATAATCAGGTAGACCTGTAAGTAATAGATAAATAAAAATGAGACAAAAATAACTTATCTTATTAAAAGTTCTTCAAAGACCATAAGAGAGGTCAATGCTAGAGGTCTTAATATGAGTTTAAAAATAGTACAGAAACACTAATAGTTTGTTAATAGTCTGCATGTGATAGTGTTAAGTGGGGGACAGATTAGAACTTAATTTATGAGTTGATACTGAATACTAGACTAATTATTTTGTTGATCCTGATCTTCCTACTTCTCTTGCTTTAGGGCAACAAAGCTTCATCTATCAGTGTATTTAACTTCTAAATTGTTGTATTATACTCAGGTGACCGTTAAGGCCCTTGGGCCTCTTGTTATTAGTTAAATACCATCGGATCTAAAATCGGGGACAAAATGAAAACCTTCTTAGAATGTCTAAAAGACGTGAAGAGTATACTTATCAAAATAAATTTAATTGATCATTGAATGAATGTCCGAATTAGTCTGTAATTAATATTGTAAAGGGCTCAATTTCAGAATAAATATGTAAATTACTTGATTATCTCGGGTTGTACATAATCTTCAATTTTATATTTTATTATCGGGAAATTAGTTAATTACCTGGGAAAATTGTCTATGAAAAAGTTTGTTTATATTTTAAAAACATTGTATCAAAGATTACAATCATATCTCTTATTAGTCTGATATTTGTAATTAATTACATGCATTGAAATCTGAAAAGTATACGACTATCCTGCCTTTGGTAGGACAACTGGTTCCTCAGTTGGAGCTACTATAAATACATATGTATCATTTGTTAAAATTATACTTTTCTACATTTAAATCAAATATTTATTTCAAATATGCATTGACAAATATCAAATGGAATTCCTTATTGTACACCTACAAAAGTCTTCGTACAATTTTACTTCCAATATAAGAATACCTATGCTAAACCTTTCATGAAAGTAGGATGATGCATATTTAAAATAAACCAGATTTTATCGAATATTCGAATATATTCGAATACTTTCATTGAATAGTCGAATATGAATTATTGACAAAATTGACATCCCTACTTATGAATGTCACAAATTTCCACTTTAAGCAATATGAATCCTGATATGTGAATTTTCATGTTGTGGATAATAGGTGTTTCAAAAAATTTTCCTTTTCAAAGTCCTCTACCACTTCCCTATGGTAAACAGAGGGCAAAAGCCTTGCTAATGGAAGATGCATTTAAGTAAGATTTTAGGAAATGCTACACATTGAAATTTAACTTATAAAATTTTTTGTAATGATATATAAATATTTTCAGCATTGATAAAAAAAATTTCAGTAATGCAGTATCCATTTTTCGGAAATGTAAAATTGCACAAAGAACTACATAATCTTGTACAAATATGCAATGAATGACTTTTATATCATCAATTTAGAAAAATATATAGACTTCTGTAGGATATAGGCTTTGATCCTATATAACATTCAATATTTTTTTAACTTGGCAATTATTTTAAATTTCATTAGCAATGTGATTTGTCATGCATCACTTACCTTGACTAGTAATGCTTGATATTTCCGCTTGATTTCATTGATGCCATAGCAAAGGTAACTCTGGGTATAGACAGTGTAATTTTTTTCATAAAGCACAGCATTTCCTGTGAAACTATCTGGCATTTGAGCTGACGAGCCGGGGTAGAAGGTAATTTGAGTTGATGCTCCTCCCATGTCTAATGCCCCAACAGTCCCCTCCCCAGCTCCTGATAAATCTCTCCTACGGCGAGACTGGGACACCTCTGGAGGTGGTATCTGTGTGTGACAGAAAAATTCACATTTCTAAAATTGCTAGCTGACTGCTATGTTAAGCTATGTTAATACATCTTCCCACTTTCATGTGAATGTTTTATAATCATGCCCATCAAAGAATTTTATTCATCAAATAATTTGGGAAAAGCTTATAAATCATACAAAAATTAATGTAAATATTATTTTACAATTTCTATATAATTATAATACATTGTATAATCAATTTTAATCATCATGAACCCTATGACTTAATTATAATCAATATTTTATTAAAATTTTCAAGAAATGAAATAATCTGGATTCCAAAACACAGATTGGTAAAAATAACAAGAATTTACGCCCTCCCCCACCCACTCCCTCCCCCAGCACTTACCACACCAAACTTTCCCAAGACATAATTAGCTGTGATCCAGGAGAAAAGTCCCTCCTCAGCACCCGTCAGGATGCGAGCCTGTGTCTTAGGATTTGTAAACTGGAACTTGGAAGACTGAATAGTGCTACGGACCACATCCATAATGGCATCAGACACTGAACAGTTTACGGCACTGTAAAGGTTTTATAAACTCATAAGTAAAATAGAACATTGAGAGCTATTTCCCCCTATTAAAGTCCATTTTAATCAGATAAATGTCCAGATCAAATTAAAATTCCAGGTCCTATATCCATAAACTGAGAATACACTTAAGTCAAAAATTTCATTTTGCTTATCTGAATTGTAAATAGTACAAGCATAATTTATAGATATTTAAATCATATCTAAAATATGAACTTAGCATAATTGTTTTGACTTGTAAATACAGTCAAACCTTGTTATCTCGAACTCAATGAGACAAAGAAAAAACTTCAAGGTATCTGAGGATTTGAGATATTGAGGGTAAAATAATTAATTAAAAGAATAAGTGTTTGGTTCTCCAAATCACGTCGACATATCCATGGTATTCGAGATATCAGTTTTGAGGTACCGAAGTTCAATTGTAATCAATATTTTTTTTTATTAGATCTAGACTATTTAATATTAAAGTCGATGCTCAGTTTATGGTCAAGGAGCCTGATCATCCCACAGCTCTGAGTTAAAGAAAATTTCAAAATTGCCATTTACTGGATAAGTCTCATCCCTGCTGTTGCCCCTAGAAACACTGGTGTTCCACCAAGTTTGTCAACTGGAACAGCGCCCTCAGCCTCCCTTAGACACACCTCAAGGGGTAACCTCAGTGCAGAAGGGTCATTTTCATAACTGGATATACCTCCTCCTGAAATGTTACAGAAAAATGTCTTCATTTTTTACAGCTCTCTTCGAATCAGAATTCAAAATCTTAAATCTGTGTTAAAAGCATGTTTAGACTTTTCTCTAAAAGCAAGCCTAATGATTTACATATAGCTGTTTTGCATAAATGAGCAACACTTAGCACAATTCTTACTTGCAATAATAAAAGTCAGTACCTTGACATAAATAGCCATTCAAGACTTTTATAAAAGTTTGTTTGTATCAACTGTCTTTAAGCTTGTGTTAGATATATTAGCTACCAATCAATGTGTCCTTGAAAAAAAAATTCTGCTCGTAATCTTGAACTTGTTCAACTGACCTTAAGTGGGGGCATGTACATCAAGTCAAGTCAAGAAAAATTTATTTATAGTCGGTACATATATACAGTTTAACAAATAAACATGAGCTATGATAGCTCTTTAAATGACTTTAACAATTTTACACAAAAATAAAGGTTTAGTAAAAATATAAACAGGTAGTAGAAGAAACATAGAATGAACCATAAGGAACACAGACAAACATGTAAAGGCTAGGAAATAAGCACATAAAAGGGTTTAAAATCTAGAAGCACTTATTTAAAAGAGTTTATATATACCTAAAACAAAGCAGATAGCACATAATAACATCATAGACATATTATATCATTAGATCTAGGAAAGGCTGTAACTAACATGGAAAGCATCACAGTAACATCACAGTAACAATAATTAGAAACATATAGATGACACACTTGTTAAGAGTCATTCTCTGTAATGACTTGAACTTTTATATAGGAGCTGTGGCACGCATAGTCTCAGAATTTCTCCAAACTCTCTATGATAAAAGTCTTTGATACCGTAAACTCAAATCAGGCAAAAATTGGTTGCTATGTGTCATTGTCACCATAGTAACATGTCCTGAAGTTTGAAAAACGGCATTTTTCAACATGTTCAGAGTCCCACAGTTAACGTTTGCAACAAAGCAAACAAGTGGCAATGACTGTTTCTGAAAGTTGAAGGCCTGGTGTCTTAAATGCATGATACACATGTTTGGTAAGTCAACTATAACATACGTTACTATGGAAACAAAGTATTCCCAAGTAATAATTTTGTTTATTTAATTTTATAAAGTCATACACTTAAGAATAAAAACAATTACAGGTTGAAATGCAAGCAAACAACAGACAAGAGATCCTTGTAACATATACCAAGGACGAAATATGATATTTTTTTATAGGTTGGCAATGGTTGCCATGGTTTTAATACCATGAAGGGATTTAAAATTTACTCTCTTAGTGTTTTAATCTTATTCTATCTTTTTAAAAAGCATATTTCTATATATTTGATGATCGATTTTTAAAGGCATTGGTGTGACCCTAATTTTCACATTTCAAAAAATTCAATTTCAATTCTTTAAATAGTGCGTTGCTATGGAAATAAGGCAAAAAAACATGCATAAAAATCTGAAAAATATTCTGTTTCCTTGGATACGTACCTTTGTATATAGATTCCCAAAACTTTAATGATTGATACATGTGAACAACTAACCTGACTTTCAATTTTGACTAGCACCCAGTCTCTAACTGGATGCAAAAAACTGGCACATAGGGTCTAATATTGACATAAAATTAACAAAATCGAACATTTTCTCTTCTTGGTAACCATAGCAACAGTGTTGTATTTTTCAACAAACTTTATCAATATACGATTTTCAACTTTAGTTTTACCAGATAAGTACTAATCAAGGTGAGTCAAATAATATGTTTCTTGATTAAAAGGTTAGTAAATTCCTAAAGCAGCAAAAAAATATCACTTTAAACAACTAGTACGTTGTTTCCATGGTTACACTGCAAAGTAACAATTAATCTCAATTTTTCTTATGTTGTCGGTGTTGCAACGTCCTTAGGATGTATATGTGCCAGTCATGAATTTTATTGTTTTTCCTCAAGATAGTAGCATTAACCCAATCATAGCAACAGATTTTGCATGATGACACTGTGTTACCATGGCAACCATGGAAGTTATTTTTAGAATAATATTGCCAATACCTAATTACATAAGGTCAAATATTTTACATTGTTTTTCTAAGGTTGTTGATTGAGTTTGATCATGTAACATCTATCATTTGTGAATATTGAGTGGTTTTCAGCATTTTTCAGAATCTAAAAATGTATGTCAAATGTACCCATGGTTACCACTTACTTAGAGATAAATTCTAAATAGTTTCTTTATAGCATAAGTGGCAACAAGGTATCATGTTTTTGGGAGAATGGTTTGTTTGTTTTTCTTAGTAGTTATTAAGGCTTAATAAAGATTTGAAGTAGCTGGAAATCTCAATTTTTTCAACTTTTCTGGCTGTTACCATGGCAACCAAGACACATAGCAACAAAATTTTATTTGATATATGTTTCTGGTGTCAAGTTTTAATAATGGGCAAAGTTTCATCAAAATCGGTGACCATGCGTGGCAGAGAAGTTTAAGTGGTTACAGAGAATCACTATTAAAAAGGACAGTCACAAAACTACCTGGTAAAACAGAAAGTGTACAATGACTTACACGCATGTATACTCAGGGCTCGACATTAACTTTTTTCCCTACTTGTCCATTCGGACAAGTGAACAGACATTTACTTGTTCGAACTTCAACTTCACTTGTCCGAAAATTTTTCAATAAAGATCTAATACTGTTAACTGAAAAACTAAAAATAAAGTCCATTACATGTGCATGATGTTATTAACAAATACAACAAACACATAAAACAAAATTTTATCTAGACTTTTTGTCCTGACAACATAAATGCTGTCAACATAAAACAGAATCCAAACTTCGTCAGTTCCATGCCTTTGCAGTAGTTTGCAATTAGTGAACTTCAATCCCGATCGAGTGTAACAATTACATAGCGATCTATATCGGGATCAAAGTTCGTTTTTTATGTAAAGTACCGGCAAACTTTCAACAGTCGTTCTTTTAAATATTTAGAGACTTCTTTACATAAAAATGCACTTGTCCAATCGGACAAGTGCCCAGCAATATTCACTTGTCCGTATTTTTTTTTCACTGGTACCGTACAAGCGTTAATGTCGAGCGCTGATACTTGAATGTAAGTCTTATAAAGGAAAGTTAAGGATTTGTTTAAGCATACTTAAAACACAGTCACAGTACAGCACAAACATGTTCTAGCATTTACATAAAAAGCTGAAATAGACAAGGAAAGCAGCACAACTAGTATTACACATATGACTAACACAAATAAAGACAATCATCAAAAAGAAAAGAGAAGAACAGAATTACAATAATAATGACATACTGACAGAAAACACTTAGGAAGGTCTCTCAGACATAGACAGCATGGACTGGTGTTTACACAAACTAAATTTATATTTTTTATTAATTTCCACACCAGGTAGTTATATATATAATTCTTAAATAAACCTTCAGGTCTAACCAATCTTCATGACAAGAACAAGTTTTTACCATGTACCTCCAGTACAAGGTATGGCGTTTCTTTTTATTCCTTTTATCACAGAAATTGAACTTGTACAAATGTCCTTGGACATCATGACACTTTAATATCATAAGCAAAGGGAGATAAATTATTCAAGGATATGATACTTACAGATTATTTTGGAATTTTTTTCTAAATGAAATGTAACATTACAATTTTATGAATTTTAATCTTTTTTTTATTCACCAGTTCATACCAGAAACTGGAGTTTAAAATGTTCTGAAATTTTGTGCATTGGAATTTTCACTGAAACTCTGTAAGTAACAACTACTATACCACTGTAAATAATTCCTGTTCATGCAGTGTGTGAGTTAATTCAAAAAGATGAGTACACAAGGTAACAGGACTAATTTTAAGCACATCAGAAATCTCACTTTGTTTGAATACCTGTGCAACTCTACAATGATCATTTTTTGTTTTCTGTGACATTTCTCTCCAATTGGTCTCTTTTGTAAACAAATAGCAGAAAGATCAAGCAGATGATAAATTACCTCTAAATACTAAAGAGCTCAGACAATAATACTTAAACTGCCGTACTCTATAAGTAAGAAGAAGAATGTTTGACAGTGCATATGCACTGAAAATGTTTTATTTCAGTATAATTTAATTTTGTTTGTATTCTAGCCTCTGATTGGTTAATATCCAAAAAGGAACACAAATTATTTCTGTATAACCTGGTTTGGTATGGGGACACACCCCCTTGACAACCAGCTGAATCATCTGTATCCATACAATCCTCTCATTTCCAGTCCTCGGGACTCATGGAAAATTCCTGATTTAATAAATGTACCTTTAATTTCAAACGATAATTCGATCTTACCACATGTAACCAAACAACATGGCTGCTAGGCCTATGTATCAGTTTTTACCTCCCCTTGATTCCCATCACTTCCGTTACTTCCGTTACTACGGTTGTATTATTGAGCGGCAAATTTGAACTAATAAAAAGTAACGAAATTTTACACCCATAGTTATTTAATGATTTTAAAATTAAATTATAAGGAATGACTCTAATTCTTGGCCAAATTATTCGAGTATAACCTGGTTTGGGTCAGTTTACGCTGTTTTATAATCCGCTTCGCGGATTATAAAGCGTAAACTGACCCAAACCAGGTTATACTCGAATAATTTGGCCAAGAATTAGAGTCATTCCTAAAATATCAAATTCAAAGGTAAAAACCAAAATGGCCAACAATTTTTTCTCTTTTGTCACACTCTGTACATGTGTCAGTTTGACTCGAATGCCCCCAATGAGTTGGAATTTTTAAATATTTGAAAACCCAAGGGTATGAAAATACTTAGGGGTAGAAATGAGACAAAAACAAAATATCATATTGCTGCTCTTGTTTTCTTGAAGTTGTCAATACAACAACATATTTTAGCTGCATAAAAAAATGTTGATCAACTGCAAACACTTTTTCTAAAAAAAAAAAAATCCAGAAAACACTGAACAATAACAAATTTTCAAACTCTAAGGGCAGTAACTTTTGGGAAAAGGAGTCAATTGAAATAAGACTCAAACTTGATCGTTAAGCCACAAACCAAAAATCAGCTCATCATCTAAAACATAGCCAAAAAAAAAAAAAGAAAAAGAAAATCCAGAAAACTGAAAAATTAGAAATTTTCAGTCTTTACAGCAATTACTTTTGAGAAAATAAGTCAATCAACACAAAATTTGAATTTGATCTGTAAGTCATCAATATAAAGACAAAAACCAACAAGATAAGTTTATGAAACACTGAGGCCCCTGTATGGCAGCTCAGGGCCAAAGTTGAAGTTTTTCAAATTTAGGTCAAACTCCAAAGTCAAGAGTTCAAAAAATGTTGGTACCCAAAGAAAGGTCTTGTCATAAGGAATACACAAGTGAAATATGAAAGCCCTAGCACCAACCATTTAGAAAATATGGTCAAGGTTAAAGTTATTCAATAGTAGGTCATACTCCAAGGTCAAGGTCATGAGGTCAAAAAAGTGGTACCAAAGGAAAGGTCTTGACACAAGAAATACATAAGTGAAATATGAAAGCCTTAGCACCAACCATTCAATACCAGTAGTTATAGCAAAATCAAAGATTTTTTTCAAATGTAGGTCAAATTCAAAGTCAACTCATGAGGTCAAAATTATAGGTACCCAAAGAAAGGTCTTGCCACAAGGAATACACATGTGATATATGAAAGTCCAAGCACCAACCATGTAGAAAATATGGTCAAGGTAAAAGCTTTTCAAAAGTAGGTCATACTCCAAAGTCAAGTTCAATAGGTCAAAAATATTGGTAGGAAAGGTCTTGAAAGTAGGAATACTCATGTAAATAATTAAAATATGAAAGCCCTAGCACCAACTCTTCAACATTTTTAGGCAAAGTAAAAGTTTTTTTCCAAAGGTAGGTCAATCTCAAAGGTCAAGGTCATGAGGTCAAAATCGTAGGTACCTAAAGAAAGGTCTTGTCACAAGGAATACACAGGTGATATATGAAAGCCCTAACAGTCATCATTCAAAAGTTGTGGCCAAGGTTAAAGTTTATTAAAGTGAGTCAAACTCAAAGTTCAAGGTCAAAAATGTTGGTACTAAAAGAAAGCCTTGCCACATGGAATACACATGTGAAATATAAAAGCCCTAGCACCAATTGTTCAATAGTTATGGCCACGGTTAAAGTTTGGTAAAATTTTGCAAAAGTAGGTCAAACTCCAAGGTCATAATCAAGAGGTCAAATATGTTGGTACCCAAAAAAGGTCTTGTCACAATGAATACACATGTGAAATATGAAAGCCCTAGCATCAACAATTTAAAATCATGGGAAAGTTTGAAGTTTTTGCAGACAAACAGATTAACAGGTAGACAGAGAGACAGACCAAAAACTATATGCCCCATAATCTTCAAGTACAGGGACATAAAATCACCTTATTATCTACAGATAAAAGGTTGGCAAAACATTGAAAAATTTGAAATTTTCGCGGACTTTGGGTAACAACTTTCATGAAAATGGTCAATAAACATGAAACTCAAACTTGATCTGTAAGTCAACAATATAAAGACATATAAAAAAAATAGCCCATTATCTACTAGCACATCACAAAAGTGCAGAAAATTAACTATGACGGAATGACCGACAGAAAGAGGTAACACTACATGCCCGGACCTTTCATCGCAGAGGCATAAAAACTTGATCAAGAGCTTGTATTTCATTTCTTCAATAATTAGTAACCCTTGATGTGACCATTTTAATATTTGTACCAAGACTGATGACTTATTGACAAACATGTAACTTACCACGCAGGCATGAGAAGTCACAACATTTGAACTTTAATTGCTCAACTACAGACATATCAAATACACAGAAATGTTGACCTAAGTATACAGTTCTTGACTGCATAATGAATTCAAGCTTAAACTCTTACATAGTGAATCCTCTGATGCCTTAAACTTTTAATCAAGTCCTATTGAATTTGAAATATACTGAGCTTTTATTGTAAGAGGTTCAATCTAAAACTTGGTAAACCAGAAGCCACTTCAGATATGCTGGAATTTTAATTCTCTGAAAAGTAACTTTTTCTGGACTATTAAAGAGAAAAATGTTGACTCAACATTAACAATTTTAGATGATAACTTTCATTTTATTGCATTTCAGGTATAAAAGTAAATATTAAACATAATTTTAACTTTTTTTAGACAGTATATTCATATTATACTTTATTTAGTTTTATAATGCCTCACTGTTTACTAACCCAATTTCAATTTACCTTGAACTTTGCAGGAATGAATCTGATTGGCTAAGGCAGTCTGCTGGTGACATTTGGTATTCCACTTGTACACAAACAGTTTAGTGTGAGAGGAACCAGCATCTAGTACAACTCCATACTAAAAGTCACCAAAGTCAAATTAAATCAGCATCTAAAACAAAACTACATAATACTTGACAAGAAACAATAATACATTTATGGAGAAGTTTCTTGATAACACAATTATATTCCTTTTTTACAGAAGACACTGAAATCAGGGCATTGTATGATTTTGGCATTGGGTTATCTACTTTTAAATAAATTTGGTAGAATCTTATATTGACATGCTGATGATATGATAATTACAATTTACATGCTTATAGAGTCAGAAAGTTATTAATTTTTTTTAAATCCTTTTCAATCCACCGGCTCATCTTCAGAATGATGGTCAAGATTATATTAACTTCAAATAAAAGACACAACTTAAAACATAATGGGGGAGCTAGCATATAATACAGGTGTGGATTCAGGTGGGGAATGTTCCCAGTCCACACCTCCTCTAAAAGTTAAACAATTTCAAATATAGTTTTAAATATCATACATCAATGTAAAGGTAAAATTACAGTCATTTATGTGTTAAAATAAGGTTCTGTATTAAATTGATGATTCTTGGAAGCTTTCCCCCAAGACCCCCACTGGACACTGTCCTTGACCTGCTGGGGACCTCGGCAGTCCTTGACCCCGAGCCATCTAAGAGCACACTCTCTATCACAAAATCCTAGATCTCCACCTGTATTACAAGTCAGGGATGAAATTTTTTTTTATTGTAGCATACAAATTTACATACACTGTAAACTGGTTCTTGGTCCTTGTGATGTAAGATGATAATGACCACCAGTCCAATGATGCCCACCACGAGACACACCACCGCAATAAAGAACCACACATTACAGTTCATAATCTTTGTCTGGAGATCAACTTCATCATCTGATAATAGAAATAGAGGAAAAAGTCATGCAGCTCACAGGTCATGTATAAACATTTTACATATTTAACAACTACAATGTTATATACATGTAAATACCGCATGTAGTTGAGAATAATGTGGAAAACATCACCCCAAGAAAACCACTGTCAACCAAGGCACAGCCGGGCTGAACATTTTCAATGTTACACTCCAATAAATGCAATACTTATCATATTTATACTGAATGTTTTATAAAAATACATATAACAGTGAACATGCATGCATAAATTTTGAGCATTCAACATTTTTTGGAATATCACCCATCATTAAGCAATGTTGACTGTTGCTACATTCTTTCATGCTGGAGGGTGTACTGGTTTCATTATTCAGAGGTAAAAAGTGTTCTTTAACAAATGTTTCTCAGCAAATCAGATTCAACTAATTTACATAAAAGCCTAATATAACAATATACATGCATTTATTACAATTATACTATTACAAGAACCTTTACTCTTATTGTTCAGCAGGTACTCATCAGAAACATCAAAAATCACAAATAACAGATGTTGAACATAGGCAGTCTTGCAGTTAAAAGAAAAATCTGCCAAAATATATAGTACAGAAGATTGACTAATAAATTAAAGAAAATCTATACCCCATGCTCCCACATTGCTTGACAATGCTACACATGATGAATGGCAACGTAATGCATTAAGTACAACAAATAATCCCCCCCCCCCAACTCCCTGAAAAAAAATAGAGTCAGAATTTCCTGTGAATATATTCACATCTACATAGTATGTCCATATTAACTACAAAGTTACAAGAAGCTGTTCTGAATAGTTTCAGAGGAGTTTCACTGATAAACTGTTTCAGTAGTATATTTAATTTTTGTCAAACTTCTAAGTTAAAAGGGGCATAACTCCAAGAAAGAATATCAAGTCACAATTTCCTGCAAATATGCACCTCTACACATTGTGTCCTTATTAACTAAAAAGTTTCATGAAATTCTGTTCAACAGTTTAAGAGGAGTTGTGCTGACAAGAACAGGACTGAGGGATCATTACACCCTCCACAACTCATTACAAGGGGTACAATAAACATCACGCTGTACAGTTTGGTACATTCTGGTATCACTTGGGACCAAACAAGCCCGTTTTATTTTTAAATACATGTTGTTGAGACCACAGGTTATCAGATAATATTCACTACAATACTGGTTTTCATGAAAAGAAGATGATGATTGATGATATCATTAAAAAAAAAAAATAAATAAATAAACTGCTTTTACTATTAATAAGCTCTCTCTTAGGCATATTAAAATTTTTTCTTCTACAAACTAAAGGCTTTCTTGATAACTCTTTTGACTATTTCCTATCAGGTAATTTAATTAATAATCAAAGTTAATAGGGTATAAACAAGAGCCATGCAACAAAATGGCCATTACATTGTTACCTTTTATCCATGCGATACCTCATCAAACCATGTCATAACCCTTGCCTATTTAGGATCAGCCTCTTGTAAATATCAGTCAGTAGCCAATACCATGCAATAAATATTTACCATTATCATGGAGTGTTAGCTCAGCTCCACTCATCAAGTAAGCCTCTCGTAGAGTGGACGACCAGCGTAACTCTTTATCACTGGAATTTTTCAGTATTAGCGAAGATCGCATGGTTATTCCTGCATCCCGACAGACCTTCCTGATAAAGGACCCAACCGTCATGTCCTCAGAGACCGTCTGTGTAAAATCTCCCTGAGGGTCCCCCAGGGGAAGACAACTCCGGACCGTCAATGTGATATCCATGTCAACTATATCTAGAATAAAATGAAACAAAGAAAAATTAGTTTTATGATTTATACTCTGTAGACAAAAACATAATACATGAAGTACTTTTAGAATCATTAAAGGCAAATAAAAAATATATAATTATTCTGTTATATTTATACCCCTGCTTGAAAAGCGGGGGTGTATAGTGATGGGGGTGTCTGTATGTCCATCCATCCGTTACTAAGTACACTTTTGGGTATCCATCTCTTATCCGCAACTCCTCTTGAATATACCATGAATAAAATTTTATGAGACTTTCAGAGAATATTTGTTACATAGTGCCATTGCACCTCCTATTTTACTTTTTGATCCTACATATATTTCAGGTTTCCCATATCAAAACATGGACATTGCCATTCTTTCTATAATACTGAGGGTACCCAGCATCATCTGCAACTCCACCAATTCAATAGTAACTGTTGTATGCTGACATTGAATACTGCAGGGGTATGATAGAATGCGATTTTATTAAACTTTTTCATGAATTCTTTTTAGTTAAACTAGCATCAGAGAAATAAATATCAGACGTGTTTGATGTGGAAAGAGGTAACATTCTTGTAAATTCACATATACTGTGCAATCATTAAGACTGGTGGGGGCCAATTTTCGTGGATTGCCTAAATTTTACAAATTGAAGGGGACAAAATGTTATGCATTAACTCATATCATGATTCTTGAAACCCTAATTAATAATTCATGGGGGCTGTGAATTTGTGTATGCTGGGTCCCCATGAATTCCACGAATATTGAGCCACCACGAAATCTACTGATTCCACTGTAATTCACATTTATTTTCAAAATAATTCATAAATAATGAAAAAAAAATGTTGATTCATGGTAGTCAATACATTTCTGAGCTAATGTGAGTGGGAAAATATATCTTGCAGTTAATTAAAGAAGCCAAAAATTGAATATAATTGAAATTTCAACTGTTACTGACAAGCAAGGTAACATAAACAAAGCCAATGTGTTATATAGTCTGTTTCAGTATTACCAATTAAGTCACAATTTCTTTCTTTGCAATTGAATGTTTTATTCCTTCTGGTGTAATCTTATGTTTCTATATTGTGACACATTAAGTCACAAATAAATATAAAATTTTATTTGATTCTGCTGTTTAAAAAAAAAATAATAATAATTGATGTCATAATAAACCAGCAGTCTTTCAGAGTTATCTTTCTTTGGTTAAGTTATTCTGGCAGAAGACAGGGAACTCTGAACAGTCTCTGTTACAAAATCAGACACATACTGATAGGCCACAATTAACTCTCCCTTAAATTAATTCACACTCAGCTCTGCACAATTAAGCCAAATTGGCCTTGACTTAGTCAAAATTTTATCAATGATACTATAAAATGTATCTCTAAACTCAGTAAGCTGATAAATCATTTGATTTTATGAAAGTCATTTTTACTTGACTATGTACTAAATTACACAAGGCTTTTTTTTTTTTTGGCGATGGAGAAATATCTCATGTTAAATATTAATTACTCATTACTTTTTAATAATTCACAAATTACAGGCATTCGTGTTTTCCTTTTTTTGTTTTAAAGATCCATGAACAATTATTGCAATGAGTAACTATATCACTAGAATTATTTAGGCAGCACAATTCAAATGCACAAAATAAAATTATATATTACAGATTCACTATCAAAGAGGAAATAAATAAAGTGTAATATCACTTCATGTTTTATTTTATGTTTAATATTTATCAAGGAAGTTGACATCAAAATAATTCAAGTAATATGACACTGCATAAAACTATCTCATAAAACTTCCTTTCTAAATTTTCTTCTTAGCTAAGATTTATAAAATAGCTAATATCATGCAATGATGCATTAAATAAACAATTTATGCACTATCTCAAAATATTATACATTCTTATTATCTGACAGATACTAAAATGCATGTATACAGCTTCAACTTTTATTTGAGAAAATATGGCATAAAATTGAAATGATTTACAAGAATAGAACATTCATAAATTCTGAAACATGATAAACCTCTTTTTTTTTACTAACTTGTATACTCATGACCTTGTGCCTATGCTTTCTTCAACAATGAAAAACAAGGCCAACAGATGGGATATTGGTTAGGCCTTATGGCCAAAAATAACCCAAGTATTATTTCAAACAGCATTTAAATGTTCACTTAACATACATGCTTTTGTTCCCTGAAGTTCCCCGTTCTTTCAATAAAAATCAATTCTGTCATACAATTTCATGTTCCTTTTTGTAAAAATGCGGAAATTATCAGTGGTTCAATATGACCCTTGCCTGGCCCCCAAGGAGTGATATGCTGATGGTAAATAATTCAGTCATGTCACACTAGGTGATCAGATTTCAAAAAAATTGTTTTACCTTCAACAAAAATTTAACAGTTGAGATAACTAATATTGATAAGAAGGGTGCATAGTGAATATATAAAATGAAGAAAAATATGAGACTGCTTTTATGGAGAAAAAAGCACATCTCTGACTGTTCTTTCTGAGAGAGAGAGAGAGATTTGAAAAAATCTTTTACGTTTTACAAACAAAGTATACACCCCTGCATGGCCCTCAATAAACTGAATCACTTACCTGGAAATATGAAATTTCACAAGATTTAATTATTTGCCTATACCTTTGAATGAACACTGTTTTGTAATTTAGTAAGGTTGGAAAATTAACATTAATAAATCATTAAAGTTTATTTTGCTTTATGATTTTAAAACTTAAACATGTCAGTAAGTATATTATTTACAATTTTACTGTTGCATATTAAGATCAATATATATATATCAATGTCAATTCATAATGCCCAAATGCCCCAAATTAACATACAGGTATATGGCTATTCAAATATTTATGACACTAAATTCATTTCAAAATATGATTTTTGGTGTGTCACTGAAGTAATTCATTCACTTCCCCTATATTAACCAGGATCACTGTAAATTACTAACTCTCCATTTCACTTGGAATACTGATATCCCCCATTGAGCATTAAATAATGTACACAATGAGATTACACTTTATACAGATCCGAAGATTCCCAGATGATACATTATACTCAGCACAATAGAATATGTCATCCATAGGCTTATACTCCACAAACAGCTCATCAGAGTCCATGATTACTGTTATAAATATACAGACTACATAAACAGATTCTCTAAGTTTACTAGACTCTTGGGTTCCTAAGATTTCAGGTCATGAAGAATTTGAGAAAAATTTCTGGTCAGGGGAACCAAGGTTTATCATCTTCAAAACAACCAAATAGGAATCTCTGAGAAGACTGAAGCTCTACTAGCCTAGAACTAGAAAATAGAGGGATGGAAAGATTTTTCCCTTTATGTTCCCATGCAAAACTTCGTGGTTCCATTCTATCTCCAAGTTATTGATTCAAACAAATTTGAATTTGCACTATCTGAGGATGCTTTTTTGTCAACTAAATGACTCAATCAGCTTCTAAGGCCAAGATAAATAAATAGTGCGTTTCCTATTCCTATACCCGAAAAAATAGAGGGTAGGTAGGTAGGAAAACATTTTATTTTATTTTAACATTTTATTAGTTAATAAAATTCAACTTTGACAATAAACAAAATGAGAAAAACAAAGAGTTCATTTCTTTTTCCCAAAATGGCGGCTTACTAATGGCATTTCTGTTTAATGTGTATAGGATATGCGTTTTCTTAAACACTAAAGTGATCGAAATTAGGATTCCTAATAGTGAAAATGGAATTGTTTACTTCTGGAAAGATATCAGCGGATAAATTTTTCAGGGTCAGCTTATATATTTTAGGGTCGGTCGGGGAACCGGAAACACACAATTTATTTATGTAGGCCTAATATTAAAATTTGATGCTGAAACAGGTTGACTTCTTTTTTTGGCACCAAACAAGTTTAAAAACTCGAGTGTGGGTGGGTGGGTGTGTTTTTTACTTTTGTCATTTCCACATGATCTTTTTCAAAAAATATTCTTCCAACAAATTCCCCAGAAAATTATAACAACATATTTTAAAAAACATTTATACATTTTCACTATTTATTACATGTCATGTTTACTCCTTTATACAGTGGATAAAGCTTATAGGATATCGTTTTCATATCCATGGTTGTGACGTCACAATTTAATGTTTTTTGCGTGAATTTGACCAAGTATAATATTGTGGAATTACATATATACCGTATAAATGGAAATTTTAGCGAGACGCAAATTTACCAATTTATCCCAAAAAATTGGTATATATTTCTTGCAAGAAGTAATTTTTAGCGATTTCATAATGTCAAGAGAAATAGCTATAACAACCGATATGGAGTAGATTGTTAGCGATATTAAATTTTAGCAATCATAGAACCCTTGCTAATAATGCAAAAATTGAAACCTCGAGAAAAATTCTGCTTATATGGTATATAAAAGTGGACCCTTGATTGGACCTGGATAACTAATAATATTCAACTGCAAACCATGAGAGATCCTATATCAATAGAATCCTGCCTTTAACACCAGAACCCAAAACACGGGGGCCATAAATTTCACAATTTTGTAAGAGGGACTCTTGCTTGTCATAATTATGCACTTAGTTTGTCTGCTTAATACCCAGAAGCAGAGAAGAAGATTTTCAAAGAATTAATGCATTTTAATTTTATGATCATAAAAAAGCCCATCTAAACTCCAGAACCTCTCACCTAGGAGCACTGAATTTCACAATTTTGGAAGAGGCACCCTTGCTAATCATAACCATGCACTTCGTTTGTCTGTCTTATACCAAAGAACAGAGAAGCAGAAATTCAAAGAATGCATTTTCACTTTATAATTAATAGATCCCTGCCCTAATTCTAGAACTCCTGACCCAGGAGCCATGAATTTCACAATTTTGGAAGAGGCGCCATACATGTGATATGTACCGGCTGTACACAAAATGTCACTTATTTTTTACCCCATTCACAGGCAGTACATCAAAATTCACGGGAAATGAAAATTTCTCCCATATTTTGAATTGT